TAACCTTGTGATCCACCCGCCTTGGCCTCCCAAAGTTCTGGGATTACAGGCATGAGCCACCACACCCAACTGAGATCTGGGTGTTTAAAAGAGCCTGCCCTCCTCCCCACCACTTCTGGGTTCCTCACCGGCCGTGTAACCTGCCTATTCCTGCTTTGCCTTGCACCATGAACAAAAGCTCCCTGAGGCCTCACTAGAAGCTGAGTAGATGCCGGGGTCATGCTTCCTGTACAGCCTGCAGAACCATGAGCCAATTAAGCCTCTTTTCTCGGCCAGGCGCAGTGGCTCACACCTATAATCCCAGCACTTTGGGAGGCCAAGGTGGGTGGATCACGAAGTCAAGAGATCGAGACCATCCTGGTCAACATCGTGAAACCCCTGTCTCTACTAAAAATACAAAAATTAGCTGGGCATCGTGGTGCACACCTGTAGTCCCAGCTACTCGGGAGGCTGAGGCAGGAGAATTGCTTGAACCCAGGAGGCAGAGGTTGCGGTGAGCCGAGATCATGCCATTGCACTCCAGTCTGGGTAACAACAGCGAAACTCCATCTCAAAAAAAGAAAAGGCTCTTTTCTTTATAAATTACCCACCCTCAGGTATTCCTTTATAGCAATGCAAGAACAGACTAACACGGTGACTATGAACCTTGGGAGATGACTCTAAGAGTAGCCTAGAGAGGCTAAGGTGTGAGAAGGAAGGAATAAGGCCCAAGGTGGTAAGAGGACACTAAACATCATTCTTGCATTTCCCCTGGAAATGTGGATAAGGAGGCACAGTAATGCCCCAGCGTTCCTGGATATTCTGCTCAGAGGTCAGGCATAGGGAGAAATTGACCATATTTGTCTAAGGATCATTATTAGTCTGCGCAGGCTGCCATAACAAGGTACCACACACTGTCTGGCTTACACAACAGAAATTTATTTTTTCATACTTCTGGAGGCTGGATGGCCAAGATTAAGATAAAAGAAAATTTGGTTTCTGGTGAGAACTCTCTTCCTGGCTTGCTGATGGTCACTTTCTCAGTATATCCTGGCAAGGCCTTTCCTCTGTGCCCTGCAGAGGGTTGGGCATGGTGGTGGGGAAGATAGAGAGAGAAATAGAGTAAGAGAGACACATATGGCTGGGCACGACGGCTCACGCCTGTAATCCTAGCACTTTGGGAGGCCAAGGTGGGTGGATCACCTGAGGTCAGCAGTTCAAGACCAGCCTGGCCATCATGGTGAAACCCCATCTTTATTTTATAAACATTTTAAAATTAAAAAAAAAGAGAGAGAGAGACATAGATAACTCTGGTGTCTCCTCCTCTTCTTATAAGGACCCCAATCCTATTAGTTCAGGGCCCTGCTCTTATGACTTCATTTATCCTCAGTATGTCCTTAAAGACCCTGTCTGCAAATATAGTTACATTTGGGGCTAGGGCTTCAATACATGAATTTTGAGAGGGCACAATTCAGTCCATAATAGGATTGTCATTTTATTCTGGAGAGAATTTCCAGCTAGTAGTAAAGAGTCAATCTTGTGTAGCGATGAGATTTTTAGCAAGAACTGGGTTTGCCATATAAGGCCTTTCTACTTTTTGCTGACAAAATTTCTAGCTTCATGGGACACAAAATATTATCCAAAACCTGTTTTCTACCTAGTGTTTAAGTAATTCACGTATCTTACACATCCTGCTGGTGGCACATCCCTCAGGAAGATACCCAAGCACCTTTCACCTCAGGTGAGTCTAGTGCCCCTCCTCTCTGCACCCACTATTCTCTGTGGATAGAGCTCTTATACCTGCATTCATAAGGTAGTTTTACAATGACCTATTTATCTGTCTCCTACTCTAAATGGTGGATTTCTTGAGGGCAGAGCCTATGTCTGTTCTCATTCATGTTTATATTCCTATGTCCTGCTCAGTGCCCATAACGCAGCAGCTGATACATGTTTAATAGATAAAAACAAAATGGCATTTGAAAACTATCGATACACCACAATGCTAATGAAGCTTAAGTGTCAGGGCCCCTTATTTGCATGAGAACCTACCTAGTGATTTTAAATTCATAATTGAGTAGTATTTTCCTTAAAAAGACCCTCCCTTCTCCCCCACTCCAAAACAAAACAAAAAACAAAACCCAACCAACAACTATAGACATGTAGGCTCCACTAACCTGGGCATGCCCCTGGGTTGCTGAGAGGGAGTGTGGCTCTATTTAATATATTTTCCCTGTTTGCCATTGGAGGACAGGGAACCTCCTCAAATGCATTTCTCCTTTCTTGAAATTATTTTGAGAGATATAATCTTGTCACTTTGCCATTCTCCGATCAAAGGAAATGAAAATGCTGAAGCAACGTACCCAGCAGCATGGAACACGTTGACTGCCGACAATTATATTAATCAAAGACAAACAAGATGCCCGAGTGGAAGTCCAGGAGACGTTTCTTCCCACCAACTATTATTCATAATCTTTATGGTGGGGGGATGTATGGCCGTTGAGGTCAGCTCTCACACCCTGTGTCCCTGTAGGAGCTCAGTCATTCGCTTGGACACCCAGCTTTGGAGGGCAGTAGTCGTTTGCTCCTTAGGGCCTACAGTGTTAGGGACTGATCTTTAAGCCATCCTGCTGCCCTCATTCTTCATACCTATCCAATGACAGGTCTAGCCAACCCGATCTCTCATACTGTCTCACATTAGCCCGCTTCTCTCTTCTCCTCCACTGTCACTGCCCTCGATTCTTGCCTCGTTTTAGTAATCAGCACCAACTGGTCTTCCTTCTTCCATTCTAGCCCCACTTCAGTTTATGCTCCACATGACAGCCAGAGTGACCTTTTCAACAATCCCAGCTGGCGGGGTGTCTTCCCTCGGTAACTCCCTATTACACTCATGATAAAGCTCGAGTTCCCTTGAATTACACACAAGACATTCAAGCCCAGCCTCTGTTGACTTTTTCTTCCTCATCTCTGCCTACCCTCTTGCTGGCGCTTCAGGACTCATCATTCTGAATTATTTGTACCTCCTCGAAGGTGCCATGCTCTCTGAAATCTGGACGTTGGCACATGTAGCCCCTCTGCCTTGAGGCTTCTTCCATATCCCTGGCTTGTCTCTTCCATTCAGTTTAAATTAGTGCTGTCCAGTCGAAATATTATGTGAGCCACATATTTATTTAATTGTAAATTTTGTAGTACCCACGTTTTATTTATTTTTTCTTTCTTTCTTTTTTTTTTTTTTTAAAAGACGGGGTCTCGTTATGTTGCCCAGGCTGGAGTGCAGTGGCTATTCACAGGCGCGATTCCACTACTGATCAGCACGGGAGTTTTGACCTGCTCCATTTCTGACCTGGGCCGGTTCACCCCTCCTTAGGCAACCTGGTGGTCCCCCGCTCCCGGGAGGTCACCATATTGATGCCGAACTTAGTGCAGACACCCGATCAGCATAGCGCACTACGGCCCAGAACTCCTGGACTCAAGGGATCCTCCAGCCTCAGCCTCCTGAGTAGCTGGGACTATAGGCATGCGCCACCAGGACTGGCAGTAGCCACATTTTAAAAAAGTAAAAGTAAAAAGTACCTGAGCACTACAAAGCAATCATGAAATCTTAAGGGACGCGATGGCCAAAGTGGAAGTAGTCCTATCAAAACTGTAAGGTTGAACTTAAGGGAAAAATGTTTCCCACGGCTTCAGTTTTATATTTAAATTAATTAGTATTAAACATTTGGTTCCTGGTCATCCTAGTCGCATTTCACATCCTTAAGTCTCTTTCCGAATGGCACAGGTTTAGACTTCACTTTCTCTGGCATCCCATCTGCAGTCGGTGCCCTCCCTGTGTTACCATAATAATCAGGGCTTACCCCTCTCACAGTACCAGTTACACTGTGATATAAGCTGTCTGCTTACTTGTCTCTGTTCTTCATCGGACCCAGCTTCTTGACAGGAACGCCTTTGTCTTATTTATCTCTGTATCATCAGCATGCAACAATTCTGGCCTAAAATAATTGCTTGATTTGTTTGAACGAGGTTGAATGCCCGAAAAACAACAATCTTCTGTGGGCCTACAAGGCATTACAAAATCAGGTCCTTCACTTGCTCACTCTGACCTCATCTACCACATTCCCCTTTGTTCATTCTGCTCCAGCCACGCTGGTCTCCTTCCCATTCCATGAATAACCTAAGGATGAGTGGAGCTTAGGGCCTTTGCACTATGTTCTTTGTGCCTGGAAAACCCTTGCCTTGTGGGCAAATTGGCTTTCCTTCTTCCCTTATTGCATTTAGGGGGTTCATTAAATCTGCCTTCCCTGACCAACCTCTTTCCAAAATAGATCCCAATCTACCAGTTAATTTCCTAAGTTTATTTTTCATCATAATGCCCATCACCATTTGGCATGTTATTTATTTAGTTAATCTGACTGTCCCCACTGGAATTCTAGTTTCATGATAGCAAGCACTTTTTCTGGGGTGATCAGGGAAGCATTCACCCAACTAGGTTTTTTTTTTTTTAAAGAGTTGGGGTCTTGCTCTGTTGCCCAGGCTGGAGTGTAGTGGTGGTGCGATCATGGCTGACTGCACCTTCAATTCCCAGGACTTAGGTGATCCTCCTACCTCAGCCTCCCAAGTAGCTAGGAATATAAGTATGAGCCACCATGCTAGGCCTATACTCCCAACTTAGAATAGGTTCTGGCACCTAACAGGTACTTGATAAATATTTATCACTGAAAGAAAGTTAGACTATCACAGAGAAGGTTAGGGAATGGGAAAAGGCAATAAGATACTCAGAAGTAGAGTTCCAGAAATCTCAATACTTCTCCCATTTCAAGTTTACAATGTCCAAATGGCTTGGAAAGTGACACGATGACCAGCTTTTCATTGGTTTATGTGTAAAACTTGAAGCAGGAGTAACAGGATAGTCATGAGTTTTAGGAGCTCGTGAATGGTACAATTTTGCCACCCCCAAAATTAGGGGATTCCTGGTTTTCTACAAGCAGAAGGGTTGGATGAGTGGAATGTTGCTGTTGGAAGCTTCTGTGGCAGTTGGGAGAGATCGCCAGTTGGACCGATGGAAGGGAGTCCAGCAGGACCCATCGAGCAGAAGGAGGCCAGGTGGGAAAGCTCCCGGGAAGAGCAGCCAGGACCGGCATGGGGTTGCTCAAGTCCTGAGTCACAGTGAGTCATAGCAGAAAATAGAGTTGCTGGGACAGAGAGATTGGGGTCTGAGTCTGCACACTGACCACTTTGGAACATCTGTCAGTGACATGGGGCAAGCTACTCACTCAATGCTTCATCCCAGCTTGTAAAATAGGGATAATTTGTATTTCACACGGTCGTGAATATGACGTGAGATAATTCATGTGAAAATGCTCTGTGAACTCGAAAGTGTTTGATAAATACAAGTTATTAGCTCTGGAGGCATTTTTTTCTGGTGAAGCCTCTTGTCTGCCCACCCTACACCTTCGATCATTGAATTTATTGTATATAACTCAGGGCTCCTGTAAACTTTTATTCTGTTATAAAACTCAGGCTTGTTTCTCCTGAATGTCCCTCAAGGTTCAGAAAAACAAAGCTCAATCTGGCCTTGGAGCACTTCAAGAGCCACATCCTGACATTTCAAGGAATACAGTTTTCAAGTTATCTCGTATGTGAATGTCTTATCTCCCCAGATAAAGTGTAAGCTGCTTGTTGTTAAGAGCACAGACTTCAGGCCAGGTGTGGTGGCTCACACCTGTAATCCCAGCACTTTGGGAGGCCAAGGCAGGCGGATCACGAGGTCCAGAGATTGAGACCAGTCTGGCTAACATGGTGAAACCCCGTCTCTACTAAAAATACAAAAAAAAATAGCTGGGCGTGGTGGTGGGTGCCTGTAATCCCAGCTACCTGGGAGACTGAGGCAGGACAATTGCTTAAACCCAGGATTCCAAGGTTGTAGTGAGCCGAGATGGCACCATTGCACTCCAGCCTGGGCAATAGAGCAAGACTCCATCTCAAAAAAAAAAAAAAAAAAAAAAAAAAAAACGAAAGAAGAGCACAGACTTCGGTACTGGGTTTAGTACTGAAGATCCTGTCTCATAAATAAATAAACAAATAAAAATAAAAAGAATTTTTTAAATTTTTATTTATTTTTGAGACAGGATCTCACTCTTTCGCCCTGGCTGTATTACAGTGGTGCTAATCATGGCTCATTGTGGCCTCGACCTCTGGGGCTAAATCGATCTTCCCACCTCAGCCACCTGAGTAGCTGGAAGTATAGGCAAATGCCACTGCATCCAGCCTCAGTTTTGGGTTTAGGGTTTAGCTCTACTTATTTACCAGCCATATAGGACTTTGGGTAGGTTACTTACTCTCTTTAAGCCTTAGTTTTCTCTTCTACACTACTGACATTATAATAGTCATTTATAAAGGACTGTTGCGAGAATTAGCAAAGATAATCCATCTAAAGTTCTTAACCCAGTACCTGGTACATAGTAAGAGACTAATCCGTCTTGGTGATAGCTACCAGCACAAGGCGAAGCATCTACTGGTATCGGGCTTTTCCAAAATACTTGATTGATTGAGAACTGAAAGTAAACCAAAGAAAACAGAGTAATTCAAAACGAATCTTAGTTTTAGTCTCCCAGCCTATCAAGAGGATCTGGAAGGTGTATGGCCTCCTGAGCCAGGCAGGGAAGTAAACAACAATACAGAGGCAATTTATTTTCTTGGGCTGACAATGGATAAATTTCATTTGAAACATGGCCGTGCGTTTAGGCAGAGGAAGGGGATATGGGCTATTTTAGTCCTGAAATGTTGATGGGATGTTTATGGGACACAAGTATGGTGCAGCATGCCATAAATTGTTTAGGACATTTCCCACTTTCAGATCATCTGTCACATTTTCAGACTACATATTCTGATAGTTGTTCAGAAAATCTGATGGACACAAACGCAGGTGTACATGACCAGTGATGATTAACATTTTATTTCTATGGTTATTTATGTAATTTATCCATACAGATGACAGTTTTAAAACTCTTACTGGATTCTACCAACAGGTTTTCGGGGGCAAAGATAAAGTGTAATTCTGAACCTCCTATTCCGGTTGAGGAAACAGACACGTAACTGTATTGAAATGCTGAAGTGCCGTTTTAGGGGTTATGTACAAAATGATGTGGGTACGGAAGACGGGGGAAGATGTGGTGGGGCCAGGACACATTTCACAGAGGAAATGACAGATCTGAAGAATAGCTAATATTTTTCCATGCTGCCCACGAGAAAAGGCCATCTCATAGAAAAGAAATGGCATAAGCAAAGACCTGGAGACACATTGAATACAGGGTGGGGTGGCTGTTGCAGCTGAGAAAAAGACTGAAAAGTTAATTTGGGTTCAGAGATTGGAGGGTTTGAATTCTGTCCTAAGCAGAAATCTAAGCTAGGGATGACCTCGTGTCAGAGGGGAAACGCAGTAGGGAGAGGCCAGGGGCAGAGAGGAGATGGGGAGGAGTGTTGAAAGAGTCCAAGCCAAAAATGATTGGCCCTGAATTAGGACTGTAGCCATGGGAATGGAGAAAGGGGGTTAAATCCAGACATAATTCTGACAGAATGGACCCAACACAGGGCCCTCCTCATGTTATACGTACTCACACATACACACAAATCCACACACATATGAGAGAAAGACTCCACTAAGAGATACTTCTGTAAATGAGAAGGAGAAATCACAAAAAATTCTATAGGAGTGAGCAGTAGGAGAGAAGAGTAATGGCCTATGATTGAATAAAACTCTGTGACCTTGTGCTCTGTGTTCGACCTGACCATGTAACCTTGACGTGGAACCTATGAACTCTGTATCTTAGTTTGTTTCCTCCTTCTTCCTCCCTTTTTCCCCCAACAAGTACACAATCTGCTTCCCTGTCACATAGGAATTTTAATAATAGCTGTCAGCTGGTCACCAGATCTTCCATCTAAAATTAACAATTGGAGCCAGGCACGGTGGCTCACGCCTGTAATCCCAGCACCGGGAGGCTGAGTCGAGCAAATCACTTGAGCCCAGGAGTTTGAGACCAGCCTGGGAAACATGGCAAAACCCCATCACTATGAAAAAACTACAAAACTTAGCCAGGTGTGGTGGTGTGCACTTGTACTCCCAGCTACCTGGGAGGCTGAGGTGGGAAGATCATTTAAGCCTGGGAGGTTGAGGATGCAGTGAGCCATGGTGATTTTGCATGCCACTGCACTCCAGCCTGGGTGACTGAGGGAGACCCTGTCTCAAAAACAAACAAACAAACAAACAAGATTGTGTAGGGAGGAGCTTTGAAGATGGAAAGTTCTATTATTTTCTCCTTCAGGGTATAGTCCTCTTTCAAGTCAGTCTTGCTCACTAGACGCCAGGTAAACGTCAGCCTAGTATAGAATGGGCTTTCAGAGGATGACAGCACTCTTTCACCTGACTTCTGGACCAGCCAGAGAACTGGTGCAGTTGTTGCAGGAGGAAGAGCTAATTGGGCCACAGGTCCTGAGGCAGGAAGAAAAGGTGCTGTGGTGCGTGTGTGTAATCCCAGCACTTTGAAGGCTGTGGCTGGAGTATTATTTGAAGCCAGGAGTTCAAAACCAGCTCTGGCAACAAAGCGGGTCCCTGTCTCTCCAAAAAATAGAAAAAAAAAAAAGCCGAATGTGGTGATGCATGCCTGTAGTCCCAACTACACAGGAGGCTGAGGCAGAAAGAGTGCTTGAGCCCAGGAGTTCAAGGCTGCAGTGAGCTTTGATTGTGCCATTGCGCTCCAGCCTCGGTGACAGAAAAACTGTCTCTAATAAAGAAAACATTTTTAAAGTATTTATTGGATATTATGTGCCTGCTACCAAAGTCTTCTTTCACTCTGTTCCACGTAATCTATTCATTTACCCAACAAATATTTGTTAAGAACTCAATGAATACCAGCACCTGCCTTAGGCCTTAGGGATATGGAAACAATAAATGAGATCAGGACTCTCTACCTCTGCCCTCACTCTCCATTCTTGATTTTAGCCAAAAGGCTGAGAACAATTGACATCACTGTCTTTGTTAGGTCAACTCTAAAGATGATAAGACAAGGTTGGGATTGTGTGTAGGTGGGGAGTCTTCTCCTGCGATCTCTTGTGTTTAGATAAGAATGCTAAGAGAATGCTAAACAATTTTGTCAGTCTCACCAACTAAATTGGGATCTCTGAGTTTCCAATGCTCAGCCTATTACCTAACACATAAACAATGCTCAGTAAAAGAGTGTTGAATGAAAAAAAATTGCCCGCTCTGAGAGGCAATTTTTAACTCGGTGTTTGATGTGTCAAGAATCTTTGACCTTGAAGTGTGGGACAGGACAACTGATAAGTGCTAAATCCTACTGTGAAAATGCCACTGTTCGGAGTTGCAGAAATACAAGGCGTGCATGAGAGTAGACTTAGTAATTTATGCTGCATCTTTTATTTCACAGCAACAGGTGACCCAACACTCAGTCTCTCCCAGCATTGAGATCTGAAGCCACCGCATAGCTAGATTTATGTCATGACTTTTAGCCAATTAAAGGAAGGAAAGTTTTAAGTTAAGCTGTCATTTTCTTTCCCCAAGACTAGGAAGGCAGTGATAGCAAAAAGAATGTGGATGTTTTAAATATTATTAATAATAATTTTATATTTGTATAATGCTTATACTTTTCCAAAATATAGTTTGTGTCACTGGATACCATTTGATTATATCACATGATAGATAGTATTGAAATTATGGTCACCTTTCCAGATAAGAAAAAGGAGGCAAAATGAGAATAAATGATTTACCTAAAGACACACAGCTGGGTACTGGGAGAATTGGAATACAATTCAAATCTCTTGATGACCAATATTATGCTGACTTCCATATTTGGTTTTGGAGGCACTAAGTTCCATAAGGAAAAGGATATTGTCTAGGTCACTGTTGAATGGTGGGTGGTCAATAAACATTAGTTTAATGTGTGAAATATGTGCAGTGGTGCGATATTGGCTTACTACAAACTCAGACTCCTGGGTTCAAGCAATTCTTATGCTTTATGGGATATACATACAGCTATAGGATATACATACAGTATATCTATATCTTATGGGATATACATACAGCTATAGGATATACATACAGTATATCTATATCTTATGGGATATACATACAGCTGGGACTACAGGAATACATC